CCTCATTTTGTTCATCTCGCAATGGACTTTAAAAGCCCTAAATCAATTTTGAAGATTGATTTAAAATTCATCATTAATTAAGTTACAAAATCTTTAGTGCCATATTAGGGTTTTCAATCGAGGAGGCAAATTGTCAGTTTCGATTACATTGGGAGGCAAATTGTCAAAAAAAAAAAAGTTTGTATGACAAACTAAAAAAAATAGCATACTTTGGGAGGTTAAAAAAAAATTTCCCTAGAAAATAGAGATATTTGTAGTTATTCTTAATTAGTTGTGAAATATATATTTATATAATATCAAAATATATATAGTATCAAAATAAAAAATAAAATATTTTTTATTTCAGGACATAAAATGACATTACAAAAATGTGCACCATCTAAAATGAGACATGTCAAATAAATCATGTAACTGAAAGTTACATATTTTTATTAAATGGAGAACATATTTTTATTAAATGAATACATATTTTTATTAAATGAACTACTATTATTATTAATTGCTGGCTGAATAGAATTTAATGAATCTTGCCAGCAATTATATATATATATATATATATATATAGATTGTTAGATAGCTATAATTTCATAATATATATGTATGTACATATACATGTTATCATATTGAAGTATCATACTTTAAGAAATAATATAGATAAAGATATGACATTTCTTAGTATGAGCACGAATTTTTATTTAAAAAATATAAAACGAGTTAGACTTGTCTAACTTAAGGTATAACATCCGTGCTTTCTATAATGTTTTCCGCTCAAGATTTCACAAACAGCATTGCATATGAGGTTACTAATCATTAAAGATCCATCTCTCAATAGCTAGCTATTAGCTTAAACTTATATACAAAAAGGCATTAAACAACTAATAAGAACTTCCAATTAGCAGTGTTCCAACTGAAGCACACTTGGTACAGGGCTGTTAAATGTGTACTAAGAACCCCACAAAATTAAAAAAGAAGATATTAGAGATGTTGTTAATGATGGCCCTAATCACTTTCTACACTCTCCCAACTGCCATCACTCTAGAAATTCTAAAACGGTTACATTTCGTTCAACAGCTAAGCTAAATCTAACACACAATTACACTAAAAATCTCGCAAAAAAGTTATATTGCAATTATACATGCCCAGAGTCTGAATTTTTTGCAAAGCCTGTTAAAAGAAAAAAAAAAAAAAGAAAAAAAAAAAGGTAATAGACCACTTAATTCACCAAAACATCATATACACATCTAAATCCACATTAACTGAATCTTCAACCAAAAAAAAAAACATAATTTCGCACTAGCAAATAAATGATCTCGAAAGCCTCGTAAATAAATTGTTATACGGATCTAAAATAAATTAAAATTAATTCCTAAAATTCAATATAAAATAGTTCGATACCACTTGTTGGAAACAATTTTAGGCGTAAATCATCGTTTTTTAGTACAAGAGTGTTTCATATTACATAAACGAGAACCATAACCGGATAGCGAAAGCGTACATGAATCAATAAGCGATTGATTTAAGAATTTGGCCTTCTAGGTCATCACGTACGTGATCTTTTCGGGGAACCCTTTGCTTTTCTCCATAAGTTCTCTGTCGATGGGATGCAGAAGAGTATACCGTATGTATAACCTAAGGCCACAAACCTTTATATAAACTAAGTTATATTGAACATCTGTATTTTAGGCCATGATTCAAATAGAGAAGACCATTAGTCTCAAAACATTTTGCAGATGATGGTCATTTTCGAGTCAGAACATGGAGAAGTGTGAGAACATTTTCAGATAGTGGCTTTTTTCGGGCCAAAACATTGAGAAGTGTGAGAACATTTGGAGAGAGTGATCATTCAAGGTCAAAACAAAGAGAGGAGAGATGGTCTTTTACTATAAAAGAAAATATAGTATTGTAGTGGCTACATCTCAATATTTTCATTCTATACACCAAACTTTCTTCACATCTAACTTCTTGTAAGAATGTCTCATCTTCCTATAATCACAGTGAAGATATTCTTTTATGTCAAATTTTTATGAAAATTTCTCAGGACCCAACTATTGGGGTGTACCAATCATCTGATCGATTTTGGCCTTGTATAGAAGAAGTTTTCAACGAAGGAAAACTTGAGCATTTGGAGGTCCGTAACAAGAGATCCTTATAAGCACAAATTCAAACTATCGAGAAAGCAACCAAGAGATTCCATGCATGCATAAAAGTTGTAGAAGATATGCATCAGAGTGGTGCTTCAAGTGAAGATACAGTGAGTATTAAAATTTTATTATATTTGTAAGTTTTCAAATTTATTATTTGCACTATATAACTATGGTTAATTATTTTTGTAAAACTTGTAGATGTTCAAAACAAAAGTGTTGTTCACACAAAATCCCCAATTAAAACTTCAGGTGGAAATACGAGCACATTTGGGATATTATTAATAATTTTAAAACATTTAAAGATGCTAATACGAGGAGCAAGAAAAAACAATATGTTCATTATATCTCTTTCGAAGTTAGAAAACCTGACTCCCGAGTCTGTCGGCCAAGCATCCTCAGGCATTTCTCAATTTTCTCTAAACTTAGACGACTGAGATGATTCTTCATTTGAAAGACGTATCGGAGTGAAGAAACTCAAACTAAAAAAGAAAGATAAATGATGATTCATCATCGATCATCAACACTATGCAGGAAGCAAACAACAAACTTTTAAAAGAGTTGAAAAAAACAAACGAACAAACGAAACACTAATTGAAAATGCAAAACGAATCTCACGCTCTACAAGAAATTAGGGAAGAAAACAAATTTTTGTTTCAAGATGTTAGTTCCATAAAAGATCCTAAAGTTCGAGTATACATTAAATGTGAAAAGGCACGAATCTTGGAGAAAAGAACTCAACAAGCCCAACCAGATCCATTTCCAACCAATACATTTGGCCAACTTTTCAATGATCTTGAAGTAAGCGGTGACAACTTGTCAGATTGTTAAATTCTCGTGCTTGTTTTTAGTTTCAGGGTTAATGATGTATTTTTGTTTTTAGTACTGTGTTATGTTGTATTTCGTTTTCAGCACTAGTTATTTTCAAATATATTCTTTTTAAAATCGTGATATATCATGTTTTAATCTTATTTCAATCTATATTAGTAATGTTGTTGTTGCTTAATGTTAGTGTTTACTTTTCTTATTAAATAAAAATATCATAAATAATATATGCACATTTGTGCTCTCTTTTATAAAACCTCTATCGTTTCGGCCAAAAAAAAAAATATGATATTCACTATTCTAAATATATATTATAATATCTAATTTTCATAAAATTGAGATTTTTTTAGTATTTTACACAATTATTGTGAGAAATATAAAATTATTATGTATATTTTACACTATTATTGTGAAAAATATAAAAATAATATGATATTCATTATTTTCAATATCATATTATCTAATTTTCTTGAAATTAAAAAAAAAAGAGAAATTTTAGTATTTTATAAATTTATTTTTATAATTTATACGATTATTTTAGTATTTTACAATAAAAAAACTAAAGAGAAATTAAAAAAAAAAATCAAATCCATTTTACCAATTTATAAAAAATAAGGAAATACATTGAAAAAAAATTGGGACGCAAATTTGCGTTCAAGGGAGAAGAGAGAAAAAAATCGTCGGATTTTACAATCCATGTTACTAATGCGATTGGAGGGAATGGTATTGCAAATTTGCAATTTGCAATACCAATGTGTTACCGTGTATATATATGTAACATATCTTGTGTATTATTTGAGGAGATATTTTAGGGATAGTTAATATCTTGTGATTAGTTAGTTTCCTTATACATCATGTAATATTGGTTAAATATTTTGGCTAATGAGAATTCTCGAATCAGGACGATAAGGGATGAAACGGTTCTCCCAATATTTCTTTTGACATGGCATCAGAGCCATTTTTTTTTCTCTCGTGATTTTTTGTTCGGATCTCTTCTTGAAGACTTGGTTTGGAGATGCAAGTTTGATCCTCCTTTTCTGTTCAATTGGTTTAGCCGTGTTGAATTACTGTTCAGAGGGGTTAATTTCCCTTTAATTGGGCAATTTTGTTTTGGATTTAAAAAAGAGAGTTGCTGGGATATATTTTCTTTCTTTTCAGAGTTGTTTCTTTGTGATAAGAGAAGCATCTCATTTTAATTTTTTTTTATTTCTTCCTCGAGTATTTCATGGCAGACCTACGTACGACTCAAGGCGGGGAGGTTATCGTTCGATAGTCCATCTCCCTTTTGACATCTCTTCTTCCGATAATCCCAGTTTACTGATCACCCACGTCCAATTGAAGGGTGATACAAATTACGAGGAATGGGCTCATAGTTTGCGGACGACCCTTAGTGCTCGAAAGAAATTCGGATTTCTAGATGGTTCTATTCCTCGTCCTCTGCCGGGGACGGATCTGTGTGAAGATTGGCTTGCGAACAATCACTTATTGCTCTGTTGGGTCATGAATAGTATCGATCCGACGGTCTGATCAACAATTTCTCAACCTGATTTCGTCCCGAATTTGTGGCTAGCCCTTCGGGAGAGATACACCACTGTCAACGGCCCCCGCATTCAACAATTGAAGGTCGACTTGTTCGGGTGCAAACATGCGGGCGGTAGCATCGAGAACTACTATGGTCGGATGACAAAACTTTGAGACGAACTTGCTGGTTATGAAAAATCTCCAACGTGCCGCTGTGGTGGGTGCACGTGCGACCTTCAGACCAAGTGGGACAGACGAAGGGAAGACGAGAAGGTCCATCAGTTCCTAATGGGTTTGGACGGGTCCTTGTATGGCCCGACACGTTCACATGTGCTAGCCCTTGAACCCATGCCCAATCTTAATCGAGTTTATGCTATGATGATTCAGGAGGAACGCATGCGGACAATTCTTCACGACCACACCCTGATCGAGACGTCTAGCTTCGCTGTCAAGACCGACCTTGCCGGTGTGTTGGGTGTAGCACCAGGCCACGGTCCGACGCCTATCGGCTCAATGGGGGGCAGCGGTCGTATTGCTGCCATACCACCCACCGGAAGCACTACTTCCCTCGTTGCGGCTGTGACGGATCGTGGTGGTACGACTGGCGGGCGTTCGGCGAAAAATCTTACATGTTACAGCTGCAGGAAGACAGGCCATATCGCGGCCAAATGCTTCGAGGTGATCAGCTACCCCGAGTGGTGGGGCTCCATCGACGGTGGGCGCAGGGGAGGGACCGGTCGAGGCGGCAGCCCGCGGTGCTGGCAAATGCAGGGGCGGCCAAGCACGTGCTCACACGATATTTGGGAATGCTCACACGATATTTGGGAATGCTCTGCACGGTTCAACTAGAGCACATGTTTCGGCAAGCAGACGGTTTTGAGTGAGTCGGACCACGCCGCTATCTCCGGTTTGTCTAATGCTCAATGGGAATCCATTGTCAATCTTGTTACTTCCACTCGCCAAAATTCTACGCTTTCTGGTAAGTGCAGTTCCCTTGATTGGATGTATGATTGTGGTGCTTGGCACCATATGACAGGTTTTCTGGAGTACTTCTATGATATTAGGGATATCCCGCCACGTTCCGTACAATTACCTAATGGCACGGTGACTATTGCCAGTCAGGCTGGGACAGTCAAACTTGGCTCTCATATTGTGCTTTATGACGTTCTTTTCGTTCCTAGTCGTCGGTGTAGCTTGATATAATTATATCAATTGTTGGAACATGCTGGTTGTGTGGCCACTTTTACTAATAAATTTTGTGCTATCTAGGACCGCACTATGAGGATGGTGATTGGAGCGGTTGAACAGTTGGGGGGACTGTATTTCTTTCGAGGGACAGTCGTTGCGGCCGCTTCTCGAGTGACAACAGTCTCCACCGACTTATGACATAGATGAATGGGTCATCCTTCTTCCTCAGTTCTTACTCAGCTTCCTTTTATTGATTCTAGTCTTTCGACATCGAATAAAGCATGTGATGTGTGTTATAAAGCTAAGCACTCGCGTGCTAGTTTTCCTGTTAGTAGCAGTGTCGCTCATGCCAAATTTATGTTGATTCATTGCGACTTGTGGGGACCCTATCGTGTTCTCGCTTTTAGTGGGGCACGATATTTTTTGACAATTGTGGATGATTACTCTCGTGCTACTTGGATTTATTTATTAAATGATAAAAGTGTTGTCTCTTTTACTTTACTGAATTTCCTTGCTTTGGTAAAACGACAACTTGGTGCCTTGGTTAAAATCCTTCGCAGTGATAACGGGACTGAATTTACTTGTATGCGTGATTATTTTCGTCGAGAAGAAATTGTTCATGAAACTTCCAGTGTTGGCACCCCTCAGCAAAATGGGAGTGTGGAGCGTAAACATCAGCACATTCTAAATATTGCTCGTGCCTTACGTTTTCAAGCTCATTTGCCTCTTGAATTTTGGGGTCATTGTGTCCTTGCAGCTGGTCATTTTATTAATCGCACACCCACTTCAGTTTTGTCCGACAAAACTCCTTATGAGATGTTGTATGGAAAGTCTCCTGTGTTTACACATTTATGAGTTGTTGGATGTCTCTGTTATGCGCATAGCCAGGGAACAAATGGGGATAAATTTGCAAGCAGAAGTCGTAAATGCGTATTTGTTGGTTATCCTGCTGGACAAAAAGGATGGTGTGTGTACGATTTGGATAGTGGTATTTTCTCTGTCACTTGTGATGTTGAATTTAGTGAATCCGAATTTCCTTACATGATACCTTCTGCGCCTACCACTCCACCGGTTTCTACTAACTCTTGGCCCGCACCGTGTGAAGATTCCGATGATACCCTGCCACATACTGGTCCTGAATTTGGGACGCCTAGTAGTGTTGACGATAGGGGGGGTGGGCCTCCTGCGCCTCCCCAAGAGGAATTACACGGCCGTGGTCATCGGGCTAAGCGCCCCTCCTCTCGCCTCACTGATTTTGTATCTCATACAGTCTCTCCCTCGTCCCCCTCGACTGTTTATCCTGAATCCTCGTTGTCCTCAGGTACTCCTTATCCTATAGCACATTATATTTCTCGTGATTCATTTTCACCCGGCCATAAGTCCTTTTTAGCAGCTGTGACTTCCGCTGTTAAACCTCAGTCGTTCACTGAGGCGGTTCATGATAGTCATTGGCGCTCGGCCATGAAACATGAAATTCAAGCTCTGGAGAATAATCATACCTGGGATGTTGTACCTCTTCCTTCCGGAAAACATGCTATTGCATGTAAGTGGATTTACAAAATTAAGTATCATTTTGATAGATCTATTGAGCGCTATAATGCGCGTTTGGTTGTTTTGGGAAATAGGCAGGTTGAAGGGATTGACTATCAGGAGACTTTTGCCCCCGTGGCAAAGATGGTCACAGTTTGCCTTCTTTTGGTTGTGGCTGCAGTTCGACACTGGGAGGTCCATCAGATGGATGTTCACAATGCTTTTTTACACGGCGACTTGACTGAGGAAGTGTATATGAAACTTCCTCCTGGTTTTCATTCTCCTCGGCATGGTGAGGTCTGTCGATTTCGTCGCTCTCTGTATGGTTTGAAGCAAGCTCCTCGTTGTTGGTTCGCCAAGCTTGCTACTGATCTTAAGCAATATGGTTTTCCACAGCCTTATTCCGATTATTCTCTGTTTACTTTACATCGTGATTCTGTGCATTTACATGTCTTGGTTTATCTTGATGATATCATCATCTATGGGAGCGACCCTGCTGCTATTGCTTCCTTTAAAGAGTACCTGAGTCGCTGTTTTCATATGAAGGATTTGGGAGCCTTGAAGTATTTTTTGGGCATTGAGGTTGCTCGAAACACCTCTGGTATTTTCCTATGCCAACGAAAGTACGCTCTTGACATCGTTGTCGAGACCGGCTTACTTGGCGGCAAGCCAGTCGACTTTCCTATGGAGCAGAATCATCAGCTGCCAGTAGCCGAGGGACCTTTATTCTCTGATCCTGAGAAATATCGGCTGTTAGTGGGCCGTTTGATTTATTTAGCTGTGACTCATCCCGACCTGTCGTATGCTGTGCACATGCTCTCTCAATTTATGCATCAACCTCCAAGCACACTGGGATGCTGCTATTCGTGTGGTCCGATACATGAAGGGTACGCCAGGCCAGGGGATTCTCCTTCGTTCTGACTGTGATTTGCAAATTTATGGTTGGTGTGACTCCGATTGGGCGTCTTGCCCTACTACCCGTCGGTCCCTCACCGGTTGGTTCGTTCACCTTGGCCACTCTCCGATTCGTGGCGTACTAAGAAACAGCACAATGTTGCTCGTTCATTCAGCCGAAGCTAAGTATCGCGCTATGGCAACCCTTACTTGTGAATTGAATTGGCTACGGGGTCTGCTGCGCAGTCTTGGTGTGGCTCATTCTCAGCCGATGCGGATTTACTGCGACAATCAGACGGCTCTTCATATTGCCGCTAATCCCGTATTCCATGAGTGCACCAAGCACATTGAAGTTGACTGTCTTTTTCTCCGTGATGCTCTCGTCCAGGGCCTCATTTCTGTTATTCATGTTTCTACTCATTCCCAACTAGCGGACATTTTCACAAAAGTCTTGGCCAAGCGCGAGTTTGATTTCTTTCTTGGCAAGTTGGCATTCGAAACCCACATGCTCCAACTTGAGGAGTGTGTTACCATGTATATATATGTAACATATCTTGTGTATTATTTGAGGAGATATTTTAGGAATAGTTAATATCTCGTGATTAGTTAGTTTCCTTATACATCATGTAATATTGGTTATATATTTTGACTAATGAAAATTCTTGAATCAGGACGATTAGGAATGAAACGGTTCTCCCAATATTTCTTTTGACAGAATGGAGAATGTCTTAGCTTTATTTAATATATTTAGTTATTTACTCGCCCTGTTTTCTTAATCCAAGTTACTATCTTTTTTGGTAGGGCCTTGGGGATGAGAGGATAATTATGAAGGTGACAAGAAAGGGGATCAAATGGGTTGGTCGCATTATTTTTATTTTCAATCAAATCCAATTTTTTTATATATATTTATACAACCAAAATATTAAATTACCATAATGCTCAATGCATCAAAGTTTGTAAAAGAATGATGAAATTGTAGTTGGGTCCCACAAAGATCTGTGCAGGTGACTTCCACTATTTGCTCCATCTTTGAAGATTTTTTATACTAGTACTTTTATAATTAAAAATAATACTCTTGATTTTTAATTAACAATTGCCATTTGGAGTAAATCATGATTGTATTAACTTGAATGCACCTGCTTTGTATCTTTTTGAACGGACCACTGTACTTAAACATCCTAAATTGTCAGCTACTTTCGTAATATTTTTTTCTGCATTTTTCCAGTCGGACCTTATTTTATTTTGTTTTTATATTTCTCATTTTGCTTTTTATGTGCTCTTTTCGATACCTTTTTTACTTGTTAATTTGTAACTTAGAAAAAGTAATCATATAAGCTTTCAGTTTGAATTATTGAGTTTCAAATCATGTAAAGGATATTGGCAAAATATTTAGGGAACATAAATAATTTTATTCATTTCCTTTGTTTTGACCTTTTTTATTTTTTTCTACAAATTAAATTCACAATATTTAGTTATCTACAAGGAATGGCGAACAATCTGATTAAAGTCGCAACTTTGTTGAAAATGGAATGTATAATTTCCGACAAGCATCATGAGTTAAATAAAACCTATATATTACGCCATATTATATGATTGTACAAACTTTTGCAGGGAATGGTGGTGTACATAACTCCATTTCCCATCATATATTATTATAAATTATTTTCTTTTCCTTAAGGAAAAAAAAATAATAAGAGTCTAGTTTCCATTAAGTTAAATTAATTATACCATTTTAGAAAGTGCAAAAATAAACCACTAGGTTGATTTTTGGCTATGATTTTAACACAAATTCTACTAGACAGTTTACAGCTGGTTCACTTGACTGATCGATTGAATAAAATTAGATAATTATATTGCGAAATATGATACTTTAATTTTTAATTTTTAAAATATGACATTTGAGTATAATAATTTGTATCAGTATCTAATGATTAAGTAAATATAATTAACAATATTCCAACCATTGAATCAATTAGTATAGTCTTGAGATTTGAGCAAAAATTACCTTGCTCGACTTAATTACGTACAAGAAAACGCTTTTATTTTATAGCAAGTAAAATTATTAAGCATTATATTTTTGTACTATCATGAGGCATGATTTAATTTTAATGTTTTGCCCATTTATTTCTCAACACTCATGGGTAGCAACATTTTGCAAAGCTGACATTCATGTAAAACTTTATCATCACAACATGTTTGACTGTGTCTCACGAATACTTGAGTTGTTCATGGAACAT